AGATATACAATCTACATTAATATAAAGGTTTTGCTCTCAGAGCCCCATATTTTTCGGAACGAGGGTGAAAAAATGCCCCAACCAATGGGTCCATGCAGATGTAAATTACTGTTTGTAATAAAGCATAGGTGGACATTACAGTTTTCTCCTCTAGCAAATGTCAGGGCTAAAAACTGGAGGTTACCAGACGTGGCAGCAGGGCTTAATTTTCACTGCCTTATCTCCCTGAACCTTATTACTGGTGATATGATTATGTTTTTGTCTCGGCTGTGCCGAGCATTCTCATAGTTGCAATTTGCTGTGTTTGTGTCTCATTATGTGAGGGGGATGGGAGAGGGGTACGAAAGAAGCTAGATATTTTGCAGATGCCTTCAGTAACAAAGGTATTTGCGAGAAATGCCTCGTTTTTAAAATAGGCTGGAACCCGGGAAGCTTTTAGCAAATTTCCTTTGATTTACTTGATTTCACCATTTTATTTAGGGTGCCTTTAAACGCGCGGACTGTATATTTTATGCCACGCTGTTATATTGCAGGGACATTGAAGAATAGTTTTATTTAAGAAAAAAAAAAAAATTGGCTACGATATTGTGTCTTTTCTTCTTTTAATAAAGCAATTGTCACGTTGCCCAGATTTCTATGTGCCGTATTTTCATAGAAAGAGTCGGCGTCTGGGCTGAGGGCTCAGATTCTCTAGATCTTTTTTGTCCGAGGTTAGGGGACAGACATACCGATGACATTATGCTTTTTCCTAAATATGAGAGCTTATAAAATAAACAAAATAGCAGGCTGGTCTTTCCTTCAAAGGTGCTATTTCTGAGCGTAAGGATCGCACAGTAGCACTGACCATAGTATGCTCAGCTTCGCCCTAAGCCCCAGCCCTTCTCCTATAGTATTTCCATATTTTTGTGGACACAAAAGTGCCTGAGTGTGATGAGATTTTAGCGTGTATATTGGTGGCCGGTGCAGCCTTCAGCCTCGCTATTTGTGCTGCACATTTATCTTTCGGCAGATTCCTGCCGCTTTTATGTTTTAATCAGAAAATAAGCAAATGCCCTTTTCGTTCTATGTAAAGGACAAACGCAAAGACATTTGGTAATAGCTCACAATCTTTTCTATCTAGAGGAATTGAACTGAGAAAGGGGTAAAAAGGAAAAATAGAAGAGGTTACAAACTCGCACAGAATCATCACATTTACACAATGGTTCCAAAAAAGAAGAAAGCGGCATTTCCAAGTTCTGGGGTATAGATAGAATTTTCCAAAGCGCCCAGAGCACCTTGGTTTCCATCACCCGTTCGCGTTCCCTGAGTTCGGCCTCACTGCAATTGCGAGGGCTTCAAGCACCTCGTGTGGAGGCTGGTGGGCTCGGGCTCCGGGTGGGCTCTCGCAAGGAGCCCTCTCATGCCAAGAAAAACAAACAGCAAAACTTCGCTAAACATTTCCCCCTAGGAAAGTGTATGTCCACCGAGAGACCAGGGTGTTTTCCTCCGGGATACGGCTCTGCCTGCAAGGGATACCTCTGGCGTCAGGGATCCCAAGGATTTTGGATTGTACAATGCCGTTTTATTACCGACGGAAAGGCTATTTCTAGGAAAGTGTTAACAATGAACTTCTAAAAAAAAAAAAAACCCAAAGAAAAAGAAAAAAATAAACCACACACCAACAATCCAAAACAAATGCGTTCACGAGAGACTGGGCTTTAAAAAATGCGGAATATGACTAAGCCAACATGAAATAGATTTCGGTGAATTCTACAAATAAACAGAAAGCAGCGAAACCCTTACTTTCCTCAGGTTCTGACCAGAAGTGCACACTGGAAGGAAAAAAGGATAAAACAAAACAAAAAATCCCAGAAAGACAGAACATGCTCGGTTTCTGGAGAACGTCCAAGAAATTCATAAGATCCACTTTAAATCTGTAAGCTCTCCTTTCATTTTAATAGATCTCCACAGCACTTTTAAAGAGAGGGACTTCATTCAGCAATGCCTTGGCAAGGTGATGTTAGGATATTAAAAATATCTTCTTTTCTCTTTCGTCTCTCTGTCTTTCTTTTAAAAAGCAAGCACTCTCGGGAGCTAATGTTAATCTCGCTTTTCTATAAATGACGTTTTTAACATTATGTTTTCTGTACCTAGAGGTTTATTTAAGAAAATCCTCAAGTAAGAATCGAAGATAAATCGTGGAAATGCATGTTTTTATATTACTTTTGTTCCACCCGCGTTAAGGCTGTCCTTAAAAGAGTAGACAGATTTTCGTTCTAGGGAACGAATTCTGAATATCTTTGGGGTTCGATTTTTTTTTTTCTTTCTTAAAATTATGGGATTTTTTTAAAGCTCGGATGCATTATAAAAGATTACGACCAAAAAAAAAAAAAATTCTTTTAAAGTGGCATATTTCTCCAGCACGTCACGGTTATGGGTTATTTGTTTAATAAATCTTTTTGATGCTTTATTTTCTCATTTGGAAGGCCCTGAAATCTTATCGTTACTTATATATTAGATATTTTATTAGCAGTGGAATTATTATTAGGGGGAGAAGAGGCTGGAGCACCAGAGGCTGCGGCATTGCAGCGCCTGGGCGCGCCCTCCTGTGGCCGCTGCCCGCCTCACACCGGCAATCTTCTCCTCTCCAGCCCTTTCTCCTCAGCTCAATTTGCTCGCTCATGCCTTTTCTTCCTTTCTTTTTAAATAGAAACTTAACACCGCTATCATTGAGCGTTTATGCGGGATTAGTGCTGCGGCGTTTCGGTTTCCGCAGCCCTTTTGCGGTGCCTCGGCATTCGGGATTAATTCAGCATTAATAGGCTGAGATAGCCTGAATGTTAAAGCACTGCAGGGAACAGAAAACAAGCGCCTCGCTCTCGCCCTGTGGATTAAGGATCGAGAGACACGCGAGAATTTTGCTATAAGGTCAGGCAAAATGCCGTGAGGAATTCCCCGTGACTTCACGCATCTCTAATTAATGGGCTTTGTGGGGAAACTACAAAGAAATACTGTCTTTCTCCCTAAATTACGAGACATTTCCTACATTTTTAAGATATTTTTTTTCTAGGCATACCCCTCTTTTTCTTATGAGCTAAAAAGAAAAAAAGAAAAATTTTAAAAAAGAAAAAAAAAAGAAAAAAAAAAAGAAAAAATCTTTTTGGGTCGAATTCCCAGGGCACAGAAGAGAAAGAGAGGGAAGTGAGGAGCCCCCTGTGCTCCAGCTGGCAGGGACTGGAGCAGGGCACGCTCACTGCACGACGCCGAGAGCTCACCTCGACCCAGCCGGGATTTTCTTTGCGTTATGATGCATTTGCTAATATGGCCAGCTCTGCGGTAAAAAGTGTGTGTGTGGCTGTGCGTGCGTGTGAGAGAGAGCGAGGGAGGGAGGGAGAGAGCGAGACAGAGAGAGAGTGGGTGGTGGTTGAAAATAACAGAGGAACCTTAAGGCGCCTAATTATTCAGAAAGGTTAAAGGTGATGACCTTGACATTTTGGAAGTTCAAAGGCATACACTTATGTTTTTCTTGCTGAAGTGTTTAAAAAAATTTTTTTTAGTCATTCCTCCCTCTTCTTCTATTTCTCTATTTTTTGAATTCTCCGTCTTTTCCTTACTTAGTTGGCACCTTTGCCTTCCCTGCCTGCGAGCTTAGCGAGAGCCACCTCGTCCTATTCAAAAAAGGCAAATTCTTTTCTCACTCGTCGCCTTTATTGCACATTGCGGAAATCTCTTTTTCGCCCACCAGAAGGTGTATAATATAACCCAATTAAGCTGTTTAGAACCTCGGGTTTTATGGTGTTGTCTAGACAGTTCAAGGTTTTGTAAACAGCCCAGCCAGGTCACGCAAGATAAAGCGGCGAGGAGCGGAGCGGATCTGCTCCGGGTGCCGGCCCCCGGCGGGGCCCGCAGCGCGCTCCGCTCAGCTCCCGCCAGCTCTAACAGAGCCACCCCTCTGCTCCCAGCAGTGCTGGGGGTGGTTCTGCCTTGGAGTAGGCTTTTTTCCTTTTTTTTTTTTTTTTTCTTTTTTCATTTTCTTTTTTTCCTTTTCTTTTTTTTTTTTTTTTTTTTTTTTTCCCCAATTACTGCCAATTGTTTATTGCTCCCTCTTGCCTGAGTCGCTCGGAGTCCTCGGTCTTTCTGCCTTGCTCTTCACTAACAAGTAAACAGTCATTGACATTGGGGATTGTGGGCTTTTTTGGAGGCTGAGCAGTTAAACGAAAAGCGTTTTTCGTTGTTTATAGTAATGGTAGCACCATCAGAAGTGATGGTGTGCAGACAGCCATGTTGGCTCCGTCTCACAGCGAACGGGGAAGGTACGCATACCTACAAAGGGAGAGTCAGGCATCTAAACTATCGCTTAATTTAAATGCTTTTTAAATAACCCGACTAGGCTTCCTCACGTTATTATTTAACTGAACTTGGCTCTAGCCCGGAAAACGCTAGGATCCTTCGGAGATGGAAATCCATACAGTGCACGGAAGTTATAACCTTAACTTTACTAGAAACCATTTATTCACATGAAAAAGACAGTGGCCCATGCTTTTGGATGACAATAGAAACATATATATATATATTTTATATATAGCGAGCGTACATTTACCATCTCTTAAATAAACCGCATTCACTTAAAGGGAGGAAAGTGTTATCCTAGCTCAAAAGCAACAACAGAGCCCCCCCCGAACTCAATGAATTGTAAGCAACAACTACCAGACACACTGCAGGTCCATTGCTGGTACTGTGGGAGAGGAAAAAAAAGCACCTTTGGCGAAAAACCCTCGAGAGTGGACAGTTGGATTTACCCTAGTTTCCCCTTATCAGGAATCTGCTTCTCCAAGCCCCGAAATCTCCAGTGGCCATTCAGTGTGGGGAGTTGCACATGAAAATGAAACTTTGAGTTCCGCAGGGTGGATGTGTCAAGTAAACAAATTAACTTTTGCATTCAGATGGTAGGTCACAGAGACCGATATATTCTTTGTTTTTCTTCTTTCTTCCTGTTCTCTTCCTTTCTCCTTATTTTTAATTTTTTTTCTTTCTCTTTCCTTTTTCTTTTTTTCTTTCTTTCTTTCTTTTTTTTTTCCTTTTTCTTTTTTTTTTTTTTAAAACAAGGGATTCCCTGTGAAATATTGGAGTCGATCTCTGTTCAGTTTCTTTTCTTTCATCCTTCGATTCTGGAACCAGATTTTAACTTGCCGGTCAGTGAGGTTGAGCATTCTGGACAGCTGCAGTCTCTTCTCTTTGTTTATGTACACATTGAAGAAAAATTCCCGTTCCAGTTCTCTTATCTGATATTTGGTATAGGGGCACCTCTTTTTCCTTGATCGCTGGGGAATTGCTGAAATTCAAGAGAGAAGAAACTGATTTACGCTGTTGCTATGAACATGCTCAGCTAGGATTTGATCAGGGACTTTGATAATACAGCATTGCCTGGAAAGCCGCCCTCTAGCACTTCAAAAAATATTCCCGACGCTCATAATCTCCGGGTGGCTTAGCAAAAAAAGCTAATATTTCCCAACTTCTCCTTAAAAGAGAGCTCTTCGAGCAATACAGAGATATTTAAATGGGCTGGAAAAATTCCAAGTTTCTCAAACTCCTCTCACACACACCCCCCGCCCCAAACAAACGGAGATCTTAAGCTCTAAACCGAAGACAGCTCTGAGCACTACCTGTGAAATCTCTCCGTCTCCCCACGACGAATCAACAATTTAATAACAATTAATATCCTCTTCCAAGAATACCTTAAGCCCACCTAAATTGGTTTCCTATCGTAAACACGCTTTACAACGGTAAAGGAAATCTTATAGGATATATAAAATCCTTTGGATGCTTATAAAATTGCACATAAAATGCGGCTTGACAAAGTGTTGGCCTTGTACTCTTGCCCCCAATTTACTACTGATACCTACCTGAACTGTTGCTCTTCTCTGCAACAGCCTCACCAGAAGGGGAATCGGCGCTGTTTGCTGGTGTCACTTTCTTCTCCTGGCTGGAAGGTGTTTTACTGCAAGTGCTGTTCTGGGCTTTCAAGTCGCCCTTCTCCGCGTCCCCCTCGCTCTCGGAGTGCTGCTGGTACGGGGGTCCGGGGGCTGTCTCGTAAAACTGGTCGAAGCCTTGCGGCAGGATGCCGTTCCTCCCCACCGAGCTGTAGAAGTTGGAGGCGGCGGGAGACGGTCCGTGGTGGCCGCAGACAGGGTCCGTTTTGAACAACATTTCCGTCCTCCTGTTCGCAGGCTGCAGAAAGTCTCTGTGCATCACCTCTTCAGCTGAGTAATAAGGAGCATAACTGCCCCTATACTGCCATTTGCTGCGCTCTAATCCGTATTCCCTGAATGCTACTTCGCGCACAGGTTGAACATGAGGTAAATTAGAAGAATAAGGAAAAGTCATTTGACAGGACGACGATTGAGACAAAAAAGAGGGCTTCGTCGAGAAATCTGAGGGTGAGACGTAATAGGCGCACCCTGGCAGATACATATTGGATGTGCCGTGACTGCAATCGTCAAACTCAGTCATGTCTTCCTTTTTGCGATTGCAAGCAACCAGGAGGCTTCAATGCATTGAACAAGATCCATCTATTGCACAAGAGGGTTTGGACAGGATCAACTAAGAAAAAATCCCCACCGTGTGCTGACGTGCAATTCATCTTGATTGATTCTAGTGGTAATTATGTCACGTGACGCGATGTAGAAATGTCCTTATATCTATATCAGCCCCTCGGAAAGGCTCCTAAGATCTCTCCAAAGAGCCCTCCCAGCACGGGGAGGCGAGCGCGCCGTTTGTACAGATGCAGCCGGTGTTAAGTCTCATCCTTTCAGCGGGCGATGCGAGGCACGCGTAGGTGGTGCGGATCACCTGGGGCCCACCGGCGGAGCCCGGCGCGGAGCCCCGCGGAGCGCAGCCCCCCGCCCG